TTTATTCGAAACATTCCCAAACGCATTAACTTAATTATCATGAAATATCTTGATTCTCACCTTTATTGATTATGTTGATCTATATTGGGCGATGGCCAAAGTAACCTAATAGTATAATATATTAACTATGCTATGCATACCTGTCTGTTTACTAACATATATGGGTGTCATGCCATAGCTTATTTTTAATATGACTGAATTTATATTTAATGTGTATTTAACATTGAAAGTTAATGTGAATAAAAACATTGCAAGTTAGGCTACTAATCATAACACTTTCATTGTACAGAAAGAGAGCAAAGAACATTTTCACTGACAGTCTAGTTCAAGCACTCTCAAAAACTCCCATTAAAATCACTGAAGCTGTTTACACTATGAAATTAATATCTTATAGATTCGTACACACATTTGCACTTTGTTGTTTCTGACGAGAGAATTTGCCAGAAAGAGCTATTCAGTCAGCGAGCAAGTGAAGATGACTCATCTGAACACCTCTGATTGGTCTTTGCATTCATAAGCTCAACAGCATAGTGTGTGACTGGTTATAATGTGCAGTGCTGTACAAACGCGTCTGTCTCTGGCTCAGCGCCAGCAGCGAATGCTGATTTGAATTTAGCAGCTGATAATATGACGCGCTGAACGTTCTAATTACACTGGTGTGATTGTATTAAATATAGAAAATATTAATTGGCTATTTTTTGGCTTTTGGAAGCTGCATTCAAAATCCACTTGGCTCAAACATCTCCTCCAACAACTCAACCTCAAAAGGAAAACCTGTCAATAACCTCTAGATATTTACAGCATCTTGGGAAAACTGATGGGCAAAGGCAAGATCCTGTACTGCTCTCCCACCATCATGCGTCTGCATCATGAACTGCATCTCATTTCTGGCGCTGGAAGGTTCAACTGCGACATCATCCTGGGATGCCCTTGGTTAACCCAACACTCTTCCAATGTGAAGTGGAATACTGGTAAGATCCTACAATGGAGTGAATACTGTTTTCAGAACTGTGTATCGTCCGTTCCGAAACCTGCACTTCCTTCATCCATGCCTAGTAAGGTGGCCCTCTGTTCCACTTCAATTGAGAGTCCAGCAACTTCAACAACTCAAGAAATACCTCCTGACTACCAGGCATTCCAGGATGTTTTCAATAAACAGGCAGCCATGGAGTTACCACCTCACCAGCCATGGGACTGTGCCATTGACCTGCTGCCTGGGGCCACACTGCCAAAGGGCAGAATTTACCCATCCCGGAACAGCACTTACAACCTCATTCAGATCCGGGAGGGTGATGAATGGAATATGGCATTCATGACCCCATCTGGCCACCACCATCAGGTTGTGGTAACCTTATGGCCCCACCCTCGGCCTTCCAAGGATTCATGAATGAGGTGTTCCGAGTAGCTCTAATGCTTCGTCATAGTGTACATCGATGACATCCTCATTTTCTCCCGGAGCCTGGCCGAACATCGCCACCATGTGAAGCAGGTCCTTCAGAAGCTGAGAGAACACCACCTCTATCTCAAACTGGAGAAGTGCACGTTTCACCATAATTTTGTCCAGTTCCTGGGATACGTGATCAACCATCATGGCATTCACATGGACCAGATGAAGGTACAAGTGGCCGCAACCAAGCACCATCAAAGAACTTCAACGATTCCTAGTCTTTGCCAACTTCTATCACCGGTTCATCTCCAATTTCAGCCATGTCTGTGCACCAATCACCTCACTATTTAGGAGTAAGCCCAAGTCTCTGTCTTGGACGCCTGCCGCCATCGACACTTTCCACCAGCTCAAAGAGGCATTTTGTACCACTCCTACCCTCGCACACCCGGATCCCCATCTCCTGTTCATTGTGGAGGTGGATGCTTCAACAGTAGGGGTAGGGGTTGTTTTATCTCAACGTCACGGAGAGCCTTCTATCCTCCACCCATGTGCCTTCTATTCCAAAAAATTGTCCCCGGCGGAGGAGAATTATGACATTGGCAACATAGAGCTTCGAGCCATCAAGCTAACACTAGAGGAGTGGTGACACTGGCTTGAGGGAGCCAATCACCCTTTTAAAGTGATTACAGATAACAGTAACTTGGAATATCTTCATAGTGCCAAATGACTCCATCCCTGACAAGCCCGCTGGGCTCTATTCTTCACCCTGTTTCAACTTTACAGTCACTTACCATCACTACAAGAACCAGAAAGCAGTCGCACTCTCCCGAATCCATCTCTCAGATGACAATAACTATCCTCCCGAACCTATTCTCCCTCCAGCCTTGATTATGAGTCCCATCCAGTGGTCTCTGGATGACCAAATCACGGAAGCCACTCGCTCTGAACCTGCTCCGCCGGGAAGTCCAGAAGGAAGGACTTATTTGACATAAACCCTGCGACTTACCCTTTTAGACTCAGTTCATTCATCTCCGGGCTCTGGACATCCAGGCAGCCAGCAAACCCTCTCACTCTTCCAAAATCACTACTGGTGACCCAACATGGCCCGGGAGGTCTCCCAGTTTGTCAAGAGCTGCTCAGTCTGTGCCATCTCCAAAACTCCCAGACACCTACCTCAAGGAAAACTGGTTCTCAGTACTTTTATTTGAAATCTTTTCTCATTTTTAAAGTCTTTCCTGTCACTTTTAATCAATTTAATGCATTCTTTATGAATAAAAGTACTTTTTAAAGTAAAATACTGACCCCAAACTTTTGACAGTTATATAAATTTAAATAGCAAATTACTGTAAAAGAAACTCCACTGACTCTTGATTTTCTTAGCTGTCAAATACTAGACAAATGAAAAGTTAACTTTTTGACATTTAAACAGTACACAAGACAGAACAAATAAGAAAAAAAACGAATCTTTTTCATTTTTATTCATATTTTGGCTAGATACTTTAGTACGCAATAATTAAGCATACATTAGACACAAACTGATTTGACTATTGGCAGATTTTGTTGGCATTTACAGCAATGCACTTGCCAAGGGAAAGCTCGATAATGTTGACATA